TGTTTAGTGGTGCTGAACTCCTACAGTTTTTGCTCGTTTGGGAAACTTTATTTCTCCTTCAATTCTGAATCACTTTGCCATGTATAGTTTTCAAGGCTGCATGTTCCTTTCTTTGAGCATTGTAAATATTTCTTGCCACTCCCTTTGGCCTTTAAAGTTGATGCTATGATATCATCTGATAGCCTTATTGGTTTTCCCTTGTACATGACATGTCTCCTTGCCGTCTTCAAGATTCTCTCTTTAGCGTTAACTTTCACCATATTAATTACAGTGTGTCTTGGTGTGGGCCTCTTTGGGTTCATCTTGTTTGGAACTTGCTGTGCTTTCTGGACCTGGATGTGTTTCCTTCCCTAGGTTAGGGAGACTTTTAGCCATTATTTCTTCAAACATACTCTGTTTCTTTCTCTCATCCTTCTGGAATCCCTATAATGAGAATATTAGACAGGTTGACATTTGTCCCCAAGGTCCCAAACTCTCTTCACTTTTTCTATCCCCATCTGAGGATATGCTTATTGATTTTAGAGAGAGGGGAAGGGGAGTGGGAGAGAAACATCGGTATGAGAAACATCGGTATGAGAAACATCAATCAGTGGCTACTTGTATGTGCCTGAATCTGCAACCTAGGAATGTGCCCTGCCTGGAAATTGAGCCCATGACCTTTTGACTTATGGGACAACACTCCAGCCGAGCCACACTGGCTAGGGCTACTCTCTTCATTTTGGAAAAGTCTTCTTCGTTTTGCTGTCTTGTTTTATTTAAGATTTTATTTATTTACTTTTAGAGAAAGGGGAGGGAAGAGAGGGAAAGAAACATCAATGTGCGAGAGATACATCAATCACCAGTTGCCCCCCGCATGCCCCCAACCAGAGACCTTGCCTGCAACCCAGGCATGCGCCCTGGCCAGTGACCTTTCAGTTCACAGGGCAGTGCTCAACTCACTGAGCAACACCAGCTGGGGCCATTTTGTTGTTCTGATAGGGTGATTTCCACTATCGTGCATTCCAGGTTGCTAATCCATTCATATGTATTAACTAATCAGACGGTTGATTTCCTCTAAGGTATTCTCCACTTGGGGTAATGTATTCTTCATCTCTGATTGGTTATTATATTTTCTAATTCTTCTCTCAATTTCTCCATTCTCAAGTTCATTGAGCATCCTTATGACCATTTGTTTGAATTCTTTATCAGACAAATTACTCATCTACATTTTATGAAAAGTTCTTTTTCTTGTTTTTTTCATTTGGGGCATATTTTTCTGTTCTCCCATTTTGTTTCACGTTGTTCCTGAGAGTTAGGTGAAATAGTCATCTTTCCCAGTCTTGAAAAAGTGGCCTTGGTATAGACTGCTGCTGGATGGTTTTGGCAGGCCTGCTGTGGTTGGGGTGGGCACCGGTGGTGCCCGGAGTGCCACCGGGCCAGGAGGAGTTGGTCCCCGGCGAGGCAGCCTGGTGTATGCTCGCTTCCTCGCCCTTCTAATCTGGGCCAGGCTGCCCAGTGTGCCCACAGTACACCCTGTTGCACATCTGTTACCCAAGGCAGGTCGGGGTGGGGCTGCTGAGTTTCCGTGCTGCAGTGCCCTGCTAATTCCACACTTACTCTGGATGAGGCAGCCCTGCCTGCACACACCACAGCACCTGGCTAGTTTCCCCCGGTCTCCAGGCAGGGCAGCCCTACACATTCGCACGCCAGTTCCTCCAGTCCTAGAGAGCTCTCTCAGCTCACGGAGAGCTCTTGTGGTTCCCCCACCTTCTGTGCGGTCTCTCTTGTGGTGCAGAAGCTGTTCAACTGTCCATCAGTTGTCTCTCAGGAGAAACTGCTTTACGTAAAGATACACATTTGACATGTCCTTTGGAGGGGGCGGGTTCTTCATCCTCCTACACCACCACCTTGGACCTGCCTCCAAAAGAGTACTTAAGTTTTTTTTGCACCCAAGGTAAGTACCTCACTCACATTACTCACTTGCACCTAGTCCAGCCACGTGGCCCCGCAGGTCTGGCCAGGGCCATAAGCTCTCAGCATAGGGCCAAGCTGCTGTTCAGTGACCTGCACTTTGCGTAAGGAGGTTGTCGGATCACACTGTCTGGGACACAGACCATTTGATTCCAACTTAGGAATTGAGATAAACATTTTTATTTGACCCTATTCAATATTTTTCTCCAAAAACACCTAGTAAAAAAAAAAATTAGGTACCATATAAAATGCCTTGAAAATTTCCTTTCTCAACGAAAGCTATGTAAATAGGAGCATGCTTGAAATTAGTAAAAATGTCACCTTGAAAAGGAAATTCTGTCAGTGCTGAAGATCCTGTGGATATTTTTTATTGAAAGATCATATTCCTTCAATAATGGACATTTTACATTAAAACTTTATACAACCAAAATCTCAAAATAATATTAAAATCACACTAAGGTATTTCCATGGTTAAGCCTCTACTTAAGTTTATTGTTGGTAAAAATATTGCAAGACACTTTGTAACTCTAATATTTTTGCTTTAAAATAAGCAATTAAACTAAACGTCACAAGAAGAGACAATGAATACATACTACAATTTGCTGATAACTGGCTAAAATGATAATTTAATAGTGATTAATGTATAAGAAACAATTGCACTTGAAAAATTTAAAAAGTAAACAAAAAAATTCTAGTTTTATATATATATATGTGTCTATGAACGGAGGTTAATCATGTATAACCTTTCCAGGACAAGTGTGTGTTTGTTTTAATTTTTTTTAAAAAAAGCTGTATATTTAACATAGCAATAAGACTTTTTGTCTTGAATTTTTTATGTTTTTACAGAATTTCCCCCAAAGTTTGTTGATGAGAAAAAGACTGCAACACAAAGCAAAATAACACTTCATTGGTATTTAGTGCAAATCTGGAGTGATTTTTACATGAAATTTTAAACATGTAGCCTTTAGAAGTTGTTGGAAGTGAGTACTGTGGCTGTGCTGTCCTCAGTTCACTCTTCTTGTAAAGATTTTGAAGGAAACGTTAACTGAGGTGTTTCTCCTACTTTGTGTGGGCTTTGCTGTAGGTGAGCCAGTACAGTGGACTCATTTGCCCTTCTTTGTTATTAAGTCTGACTTCTTCGCTTGTTTTCTGCCATTACTATGATATGATCCAGAGCTGACAGAGGAATGAAAGGGTCAATGCAGAAGAATTACTGTAGCACAGGACTCTGGGTGGAAAAATTCCTATTAAAAAGTGTGTATTAGTGAAAAAATCAAAACTAACAAATGCCTATATACTTGATTTGAAAATGAGCATCAGTTGGAAAATGTGCGTGGAATCTTGTTTTCCATAGCAACAAAAAATTAAAGTTACACTGATTCTTAACAGACTGAAGGTCCAGTATGTGTATTTAAACTCAACTTGCAAGAGGACAGCTGCCCACATGACCACGCATTCTAGCTGCTACCATAAGGTGGAACCATGGTTTCCAGAAAGACAATGCCTTCTATATGGTAAGTCTGCTGTCATCCTTTCTTTAAGGTAAATGAGAGAATAATAGGACAGAATAACAGCACACTTGTCTACTGAGTGAGCATAAAGGAAATAACAATGTATAGAAATAAAATGTGTTTTTGCAGGGGAGGAAAAAAAAGGATGTAATGCTCTCTGCACTGGGCAAAAAATTTGTACTTATACTCTGGGGTCAGAAGCTAAGAAGATCAGAATATGCCAACACCATGAAATGTCAAGGTAGCAGCAACAATGTGTGGGTTTGCTGTATGTCTATGTTTCATGTAAAGCAAATTTAGGGAAATAAGTGAATATATGTGGCTTTTAAATTGCCAGATCCCTTTGTATCACATGTGTATGATAACAAGGCCACTTAAAACTCTGAGATGTTTTTTAAAGGTAGCAAGGTGAATGCTCTAAATTACAAATGCTATTGAATATGACTCTAAATATGGATTACTCCATTATGGTAAAGAAAGAAACTTTGCACAGTAGGTTCTTAGTACAAAGGCTCCAAATCTTACCTTCCTGTTAACGTTCCCTAAAGCCTTAGGGAATTTTCAGACATGTAATGTCAATAGCCTCCTATATCTTATAATAAACAGCTGGTTAGGGGAGGGGGATTTGTTTTATTATTTTTCTTGTCTCACCTTTTCTTCTTTGGGTGAAATGAGTCTCCCCTTCAGAGTTTTAAAAACTAGATTACACTAGAAGCAGTGTATCCCGAGGTGCTCAGCCTTTGGGATATAACAGTATATGTCTGAAGAGTTTTTGCCAGAATATACATTTCTGGGCCTCTCCTCACAGTAGGCCCAAGATGGAGCCTCGATGTCTTAAGAACTGCACTAGATGGGGATTCTCAGAGAGAAGGAGAATCTGCAGCTTCCTTTATCCTATTAAATAAAAATGTGCCCTAGGAGCCAAGTGGGCCAAATGTTGAACGTGTCCTTAAGGGGAGTACTGGCAGAGTGGGGCCTGTAGACCAACAGTGCGGTGAAGTGTGGATGGATCTGCTTTCTGCGTTACAGCTTCAGGTTGGGGAAAATTCATGAAAACCAGATGCGAGCACAGAGCTGGGAGGCAGACTGTTACTTTCAATTCCTAGTTCCTCACTACATTCAGGAGAATGGGCATTCCTATTTCTATCTATGTATGATCCTTTCACCATTACTGTAGAAAAAGGTAGAAATCCCCAAACATATGGCAGGGTAAATGCTTTGGGTAAAAGAAATTGGAGTATAGAGTCAAAAAACCATTACAAAGATTGGCAAAAGTACATGTCCAAGGGTGCGTGGGTGTGTACGTGTGGGAGGGCTGTGGGATGGGCGTGGCAGGCTCTCCTGAGGGCTTCTGAGTCTGGAGATTTTGCCTCGTGTGGTCCCTCGGACAGAATCTTCTCTTTAGAACTAGGAGGAGCTCAAGGCACCGGGACCTAGGGTTGTGCAAATACACTCTTTACAAGGAACACCACCAGTTCTGTTTCTAAACATTATTTAAGAGCCTATAAAACATGCTGCTTTTCCCTAGCTTGGTTTCTTTACCTCATATAAAAAATAAATAAATAAAAAGGGCAAGAGAGGAGCCAATAACTAGGAATAGGATGGAAAGAGTCACTCTTTACTTAATAATCTGTGGGCAGTCGCTCCAGGCCTTGGCTTTCCTTTTGGCCAAAGCCAGCCAGGCTGGTTCTGTTGACACAGGCGCAGCGTCCGGGGTGGAGAACCTCTTGGTGACTTCTTTCACCAGCGGTGCTGGGGCAGTCGAATCCGAGATCTCCACTGGATTACATGTGGAAGGAAAAGGAGAAAGGTCTAAGTCAGAGCCACATTTTGATTTACAGGATTCAGAAAGGAAACTCAGTGAAACACTGGGCATCTTCTGTGAGAATTAGAGAAGAAAGCTGTGCGATCATTACTTTTACACCCATAATTGTAGCGATCACAGTGCATGCAATTCTAATTTCAGAGAATTTCTAGAAGCATGTTTTCCTCCTGTGCACAGAAGTTATGCCTGCATGATATTAAAAAATAAAAGGTAAATTTTGTGATTCTAGTCATGTAGCCAATCAATTTCATGAAGAAAAAGATTACACTAACACTTTGAGTTTACCAAGCTGGAGAGGTCTAAAGCACCTGCCTCGACCAAGCACGCCCTGGGGTCCCTTCCCCCACAGGCCCACAGATCGTGCCAACTCTTAGGACTCTCCGTCTAGTCTAACAATTGCGTTGCATTGTTATCACTCTCTTTACCACACCGCAAAGGCTTCTGAAGGTGAGGGTTCCCATCTTACCGTTAAGTCCTATTTAGTGCCTGTGGCAATGGGCCCACACACAGCAGAAGTCAGGAAATGCTGATGGGAAAGAAATGCTTCATCCTTGCACAGGGGCCATGCTAATCTCCATCATTCCAGTTTCAGTATGTGTGCTGCCGAAGCGAGCACGGAAAAGAAATACTTCCGAACAAAGGCTGCTTTTATTAACCTGAGCCCCTCTCAATTGCAATTAACCCTTCGGAGCTTCCAAGACATCAGACAGAGAGGGGTCTCAGCTCTTTGCCTTTGGAGACTTCACTTTATTTTGAACGAATTCTCTCTGGCACACCCATATAATATATAGAACCCTTAATTCTTGGGTGTAAAAGTCAAGTGAAATAATACCCATGGAGGTCTTGAGAAATTGTACAGTGCTCCAAAGCGGTTTTCAAAAAAACTTTCTTCTCACCAAATAGTAAATACAGCTTTAATGGTGAGACGTCTTTACATTTTCAGAACTCAGTAAGCAGGTAACCAAGGAGCACAAAACTCCTGGCTCTGGAAGCTGGGCGCCCCCCAGGGGACCAGGGCTGCCAAGTGGGGACAGCAGATGCCCTGTTACCCCTGGAGGAAACTCGTTTAGATGCACCCATCCTCCAGGTGATTTGTAATAAAGTAAATAGCTGGACACAGTACTGGATCATTTTACCTTTTACGAGAGTAAAGAATTTTTTAAAATGTGTGTGTCTTTATGGGTCATGAACATATAAACACTGCTGTTGTTAACACCAAGGACTTCGAGCTGAACAGCCTTGCTCTCTCTGGAAAGTCACGGCTGGGTCAGACACTTGTCCTTTGAAATCGAATCAGTGAACGGGACCATCCCACTGTTGCCTGGAGCATCTGAGCCACCTGGGTCACTGATTCAGAAACACAGCTTCTATTTTCATCCCAGGTGCCAAGCTCCAGGGAGGGTTTTTCAGATACACCTTCCACACACTTACTCTAACTTTGTAGAGTCAAAGGACACAGGGCCCGGAGTCTACTTTTCAGCTCAGGCTTGATGCCAACCCCTTTATGTACACCCTATACCCTTGCTTTGCTTTAAGCCTATCAAAACACTGCTCCATTTAAATTTTACCTAAACTTTGCCCTTTTTCCTAAATCCCATTATAATCTCTTGCTTTCTGTAGAGGTCTTTGGGGCATGTTGTCTCTCTCATTACAGCAAGTCCATAAACCCAATTTTATTGGACTACAGGCAGTGGGGCATAGAAGAGGGCTCCTATCACCTTGTTAACTGACCAGGAACTTAGCATACCACATTGGAAGTTTGAAACTGGTCGTGGTGGGAATATTTACACCACAGTACGTGGTAAACACTACAAATCAGAAGTCTCTCTAGTCCTGAAGAGCAGATTGTTAAACATGTACTGTCACACCACTGACAGTGGGTGAATTTCTGGTGACCATTACTGGATGAGCTTCATCAGCGTCCCAGTTTACGAGTGGGGTTGTGAAACAGACTGTGCCTTGAAATGCCTAAAATGCTGTCATAGTTATCACACTGGGGGAAATAAAGCGTGCCTTAAGGAGAAGAACCTGTAACTATGGTTAAATAAAAACAGTCCTGCTCTCACTACCTGTCACAGATGTGGGGAGGGTGTTGGCCTTCTTCAGCTGGTCTCTGCGCTCCAGCCTGGACCCTGCTGTCTCCGGCTTCCTCTCCTCCGGCTGAGCCGCGGACTTGTGCAGGGACCCCGCTCTGCTCACGCTGCTGCTTCCTGGCTGTGGACTCACGCTGACCTGGGTGGGCAGAGGAAGGCAGGGAAAGTGTGTTTCCAACTCAAGCACATGGCCAGACAGACTGTGCAAGGCCTTGGGGGCTTCTGCCTGTCAGCCCCCATCCTCTGCTCCCAAAGGAGCAGCTGAATTGCGTTTGGGACCAACGTGCACTCAACCCCGGCCCCCAATCATGAAGCAGTTCAGTACAAAAGTCCCAAAGAAGGAATGCTACTTTCCTAGAAGAGCTCCATCAAATTAACTATAAAAGCAGGGACACAGAGCAATACATTTCCTCCCAACTCCCTGTTCAAATACAATCATTTTCATATTTCTCACATAACTATCATGTGTGGATTGCTGCTACTAATTACATCGTGAATTCTGCCAAATCATGTTACCCTAAAGCATAAGGAAACAATCAAATTCCTAACTGAAAATACCTTCCTGGGCTAACGGTGGTTGATTTTTTTATTGCTCTACCCTCTCTCAATATTCTATGCCACTCCCAGCTAGCCTTTTTTTCCTCTTTTTTAAATCCTTGCAACCACAAAAGAGAGCCAAGCTCAGAAAGGCAAAGTCAAAGTTGAAGACGGGGCTACTCACGTTATCTTTGGAGAGCTTTTCTGCCTGCTTGGCCTCCCTGGCTTGCTTCCTCTCCTCTCGAGTAGCTTGCTGCTCCCGAAAGCCCTTCTGTTTTTGCAGCGCTAACGTGATCCACAGTGGCTGTGTGGTTTCAGCTTTCTCCACAAGTTTGGAGCCATCTAAAGAATGTCTGCTCTGAAGCACCGGCTTTTCTGTGGGAAAAATGACTGATATTGTGATTTGTAATAACAAATATATGCTTGGTCTTCGTCCCATTTCTGGCCCAGAGCACCTAAGTGATGAGAGCATACAGGTGTCTCATGTCCTGTTAATGAAGCTACTGTAGGACCACACTTAAGGATGCGGCCTGGTTGTCAGGTGAACCAGCTATGTGACAAGAGGGTTGGAGCTTTCAGTCCCAACCCCCCAGCCTCCTGGGAGGGGAGAGGGCTGGAGGTTGAATCATTTGCCAACGGCCAATGATATAGTCAATCATGCCTATGTAATGAAGTTTCCGTAAAAACCTAAAAGGACAGGGTTTGGAGAGCTAGCTTCTGGGTTGGTGAACATGTGCAGGTGCTGGGAGAGTGGCGACCCAGAGAGAGCACGGAACCCCTGTGCCCTTTCTCCGCACCTTGCCCTATGCATCACTTCCATCTGGCTGTTCACAAGTTATATCCTCTTATAATAAACCAATACTCTAATAAGTAAAATGTTTCTTAAGAGTTATATGAGCAGCTCTAGCAAATTACTCAAACCCAAGGAGGGGGGTTCATGGGATTTTAACCAGTCGGAAGCACTTGGGTCTGAAGGGACAGCGTATGTGACTGAGACCTTAACCTGTAGAATCTGATACTATCTTGAGTTGATTGTAAGACACAGCTGGTGTCTGAGAATTGCTTGGTGGTATGGGAACCCCTCCCTCCCAACATGCACCTTGGAATTGTAATCAGAATCAGTAAAACAACAGCTGGCTTACAGTGAAACTGACTGTTCTCTTCTCTCAGTACCTCACCCCTTAAAACTTGTAACTTCATCAGCCCACTAAACATTCACCTCTCCCTTCCTAATACACCTCTGGGCCAATGCCCAAGTGACTCCGCTGGGTAGGAAAGTAGTATCTTCAATCAACAGAAAACAAGAGCATTTCCCTTCTCTGGAAACAGAAAACAACAAAAATAACCTTCAGTGTCATCAAATCTCAGACCTACAAGGAACCCAGGCAGTTATTTGATTCATTGTTGTTCTTTGTTAAATTAATTACCTTTTAAAATTTATTTTTGCAAGAACCTTTTCCCCCCACATACAATATCCTCTGTGGAACTCCAAAGTATGAAAGAGGAAAATGGGGCACTGCTCTGCCATGGGGAGCTGCTGAGGGCAGTGGGCCTCTGAGGAACACAGTGGGAAACCGTGATTTTGGTTCAATGCCCCCCTTTGACAGACGAGAGTACTAGGGTCCACAGTGATCAAGTTCCATGCCCAAGGTTACCCAGCAGTTAGTGCACAGGCTGAAGTCTGAGCCTAGGGCTTCTGACTTCCGGTCTCTACTTCTCTTGTGGTTTACTGTCTCGTCCATGCAACTGGGGTCAACACTCTTCACAGCTGGTGGTCGCACAGGTGGGGCTCTGCAACTGAGTAGACCTGGGTTTGACCTTGTGTGATCTTAGGAAAGCTACTTAACCCCTCCAAGCGTGAGTTTTCTACTCCACAAAGCGGAGAGGATAATGGTCCAGGCCTCATCAGGCTGCCGTGAAGATTAAAGGAGGTCCTGAGTATCAGCACATTTAAAACAGTGCTTGGTATGTTGAAACTACTCTACAAGAATGAGTGTTCTTATTACCTATGTCTCTGAGACAATGATCCCCTTCTTTTCCCTCAAGTAAAAGTTAGGCACTTTTACAGATAATCATTCTGGCATTTGAATCCTTTACTATCTTCAAAGTAAAAGGCCTCTCTATGATCCTGTTCTGTTGAAACCCAATAAAAGTTTATACTTTGATCATCCAGAGCCTTACCAACCAGGGCTCTCAGTCAACTGAACTTTATATTGAGAAGAAAGAAACTTAATAAATTCAAATTAGGAATTCAAGCACACACACACAAAAGGCAGATGTTGCTTAATTTTCTACACCCTTAGATCTATAATGCTATACAAAGAGAATTCAAATTTATAATGAGGCTTTGGCATTGCAATATCCCTAATAATCAAAAAAAGATTCAGTTATGATCTAACACAGGAAAGGAAGGATTTTTTTTTAAAAAACTGGAACTCAAAGGAGCTCAGCTTAATCCAAAAGTTTAACATGCACTGGAACTCATGAGTTCCCATTTTTTTTAATCAAGGGCTGTGTAACACCTGTTTGTGAAATGTCTACAAAACAAAATTGCAAAGATCTAAATGATTTCTGTTGAACCATGATGTAAAAGGAAATCCTATATTAAACATTCTATCTGAACATGCTGAGTAAGGTCATTAAAGCAACCGGCCAGCTTCCTGCCAACAACTCTGAACGGCGGCTATCACAAGGGTCAAAACACCTTTAAAAAATAATTGCCTGAACTTATAACCGACTAAAATCATTTGAAAAGACAAATCTCTCCCAGACTTTAATTTCCTTAGAACTGTAGTTTGAGTGGCTCATCCTGGAGTTATGGGCCAGATGTTAAAAAGATTATAACACAATATGTAAAGGGACCTAACAGGTCTGGATTGTGGTTGGGGATCAATCAACAGAAAACAGGATGTTAACATGGAACTCCTGTTTGAGTTTCAGTCAAGGAAGTCAATAGGCTTGTAAAAAAAAATAATCAGTGGCACCTACTCCAACATTGTGAAGTAAAAGGCTACATCACCTACTTAAGACTGGCCTGTGAGCTGGCCAACCAGCCACCTCAAGGTCATAGAAAAGTCAGAGTTGAGGCAGAAGAAGCCAGAGTAGAGAATTTCTCTGTAAAAGACCCGCGGTCAAAGAATTTCTCTGATTCCAAAGAGCAGGGGTGGCCTGGAGGAGGCACCGCTGACAGGAATGGAATTGCAAGAAATGGAGAAAGAGTCCAGGTGGCAAGTGAGGCGTCTGAGGAATGAACAGAAGTGCCCCACAGAAGAGCACTGAGCATAACCCAAAAGCAGTGAGCATCAGGGCCCCCCCCCCCCCGCCTTTCCCTTCCTCCACTCTGGCTCTGGAGCCTGTCTTGGCTGGGAGAGAAGGGAGGAGTCAACCACATCCACATCCCCAGTGAAGGGGTATCTGCCTGAAGCAGCCACATAAGAAGGGAGACACTTTAATGCAAAATAGCATTTGGAGTTTTGATTATGACATTGGAGGGGACATATTAATTACTAACATGAGATTGTTGTTACTGAAAGTGCCTAGAGGACTATTTATTTTCAAAAAGTGACTGAAAATGTAGCTTAACAACAAAAAAACAAAATACCCAATTAAAAAATGAGCAAAGGACTTGAATAGGTATTTCTCCTAGGACATACAAATGACCAACAAGCACATGAAAATACTCAACATCACTAATTACAATGGAAATGCAAATCAAAAGGACAATGAGGGTATCAACTCACACCTGCAAGGATGGCTACTAAAAAAACAAAAGAAAAACAAAAAAATAAAACCAAACCACCAGACAATAACAAGTGTTGACAAGGATGTGGAAAAATAAGAATTCTGTGCACTGTTGGTTGGAATGTAAATGGTGCAGCTGATGTGGAAAACAGTAGGATGCTTCTCTGAAAAATTAAAAATAAAAATACCATAAGACCCAGCAATTTCACTTCTGGGTATTTATCCAAAAAAATTTAAAGCAATATCTCAAAGGGACATTTGCACACCTATGTTCATAACAGCACCAGTCAAAGTAGCCAGGAGATGAGAGCAACCTAAGTGTCTATCAACAGATGAATGGGGAAACAAAATGTGGCATATACACACAAGGGAATGTCGTTCAGTCTTAAAAAGGGAGGAAATCTTGACACATGCTACAACATGGATGAAGCTTGAAGACATTATATGAAGTGAAATGAGCCAGTCACAAAGAAGACCAATACTGTATGATTCCACTTATGTGATGTATCTAGGTAGTCAGATTCATAGAAACAAAGCAGAATGATGGGGCTGGCAGGGGGCAGCTGTTCAATGGGTAAGAGTTCCAGTTTTGCAAGATGAAAAAACTGGTTGTACATAATGTGAATATGCTTAAGGCTGCTGAACTGTACACCGAGAAATGGTTAAGATAGTAAATTTTATGTTATGCATTTTTACCACAATACAAACTGTTTTTCTAAAGTGACTAAAAGAACTGTGCCCAAAATGTTATTTAAGAGATGAGGGAAAAATGAGGATCGAAGACCAGGTTTAAAGGAGCCACAAGAAAAAGAATGAAGTCAAGCGTTTGCTAAATCCTATGGCGTTTTTTAAAAACAATGCTTTTTTTTTTTGAACAAATATATGAGTAAGGTCCAAGAAGTAACATGAGGACATAATGAGAAAGTGTTTTTAAAGGCTAACAGCACTTTGCAGATGCCAGGTGAGAATCACTGGGGGCAGTCCTAGGTTACTGGGAAGATCATTTACCCAGCGCAAGGACGCCGCCCATCCTGGCTTTACCCCTGTGGGGATCAGGCAAGTCACCTAACTTCTCAGATGCTGGCGTCCTTATCTGTAAAATGGAGCCAAGACTGTCTGCCTATACATATGCTGTGAGACGGAACTAGACGGCATAAGTAAAAACACTTTGTAAATGATCAAGCACACAAAAAAATGACTGTTGTTATTTTCCAAAACAGTAGAACTGTTCATCCCATTCAAGGTTTTGAAAGACAGAGATGTTCTTTGTTAATCACATAAACTTTCTGGTCGAGGAGTTCAAAATATCTAATTAAAATTCTGTTTTGCTGCAATGTTTAAACCTATTCTCTCTCATTCTAAACTCAGTGGACAAGCAGAGCCACAGCCCACTCAGGTTCCCTCCTTCAGATTCTGGGGAGACAAGCAAGTACCTCCTTGGCATTAGAGAGTTCGAATCTCTGCCTCCTAAGGTCAGTTCTTGAGGGCCACTTACTATCTGTTCTACCCACTGGGAATTTTAGAATGAAATGACATCTGATGATATCTGTAATTAAAGCATTTAGAGGAGAAAAACAGGCGGATATGAACACTGCTCTTTTAATTCCCATCAGGGTGGGGTCCGTGTCAACTCCCTCCCAGTGTATTGGTCCTCGCTGGCTTCGGTCCCAGAAAAAGAAACCTCTTTCTAAAGCAATGGTCTCAAAAAAGGGGGGGGGGCGTGTGCTCTAGGGGATGTGCAAGGCAATTCATGGGGGTAAAGGAAGGAAAGATTACAATTTCTATTTACATATCTTGCAATATTTTTCAAAAAGCAAAATTCAGCTTTCCTAATACTTGGTACTTAGACTGGTTCTGACATCCTCACTCTGTCCACAGATCAGAAGGCCGGGTATAACAAACGGCCGCTCTAAAAACTCCCAAGGGAGGCTGGGTGCGGGACGGGGGAGAGTCCGCAATCTTGTCCTCACTTGTTTTGCTTTTAGCATATTGTGAGGTTTTGCAGATAGGCAAGTTAATGGAATAACATATCTCCTTTGAACTAAATGATCCCTTATGAAATGGAAAAACAGCATAAATGCCTGACAACAAACAACAGATTTAATATACTTCTAATAACACATAAGGACATAGCAGAGCTGACCAAGTTCTTTGCCTGCCACTTTATGGACAAGAAGTAGGCCAAAGAACTAAAAGGTACACCATGCAATAGGGATTTACATCCACTGCTGTTTCAGTGAACTTCGCCCGAAGTGAGTATGTGGCACTCTAGGCGTTTTAGATAACGATGGTACCATTTGTATACAGTCAACAAATAAATCGGAGGTCCAGGCATTTTTATTCTGATGGGGTATTTAGTCAAACACATTTGGTCAGCCCTGGCCTAGGGTCGGACAGGAAAGCTCCACGTCCTTAGGCAGCCACCATGCACAAGGCATGTGGCCCTTGTTTTCATGCTGTTTTTCTACCAAATAAGGAAAAAGTCAATTAGCAGAGTCTGACTTTTCTGGATACTAATAAAGAAAACAGGCACTAATAGTTTTTGATAGACAATGATAATAACCAAAAGACATGTGTAAGAGGAAGAGGCAGAGCTGGAGCGTTATTTTTGGGGGAGAAGGTAAGCATGTGCAAGCGCAGGCCGGGCTGTGAGGAGCACTTGGATGATACCACGAAGGCGAACCATGCAAGAGCTCATGTCAAAACTAAAAATGGGGGTTCAAGATGGATCCTCCCATAAACACACAAAGTCTAGAGCTGCAGACAGAACAGCGCCCTCTGAATACACTTCGAAAACCAGCTGAGTGACTCGTACACATTGGGCGAATGGTAGGAGGGCCTGCGACAATCTCACTGTCAACGCCACCCCATGTGTAACAACTCACAACCCTGAGGTGCGAAGGGGTTGGACCCCACATTCGGTGCCCCCAATTTTAAGACTTTTGCCGGAGATACAGGCCCCCAAAACACCTAGCTCTGAAAGCCAGTGGGGTTTGCATCCATGAGACCCACAAGGTTATAAGAAACCAAGGGACCTCTCTTAACGGGCTCACAGGGACTCACGGTGACTCTCTCCCGATGGCCCAGTGCAGAGGATAAAAGAAAAACCAAAAACTGAAAATGGGCTCCTTGTAGCAGGACAAACGGAAACCATTAGGGAGAAATGGTCTGGAAGCTGTTGATCAACACGCTGGTCCAAGAAACCAGGCAAGGCTTGGTTAGAAAGGGTGACAGGGTCTCAGGTAAGGTGAGCAACCAGACCAATACCCCTCAGGACACAGCTCCTGTCTCTGCAACCATCGCCCCAAACTTAATTACACAAAAAGACAGAAAAACAATCCCTCCTTAAAACACCTCAGGGGAGAGTTTCTCTGAGAAACGTGAGCCACTTCCTGGGCTATGACCCACACTTGACCTATTCTGCAAAACAGAACAGAGAAAATACTGGATTAAGGTTCTCAGGGAACCCAGAGCCAATCCAAGTGATCAAGGAGCTGTCCCGAACATCAGTGTGAAGAAACAGGAGGGGCAGCCAGGGATAAGGGTGGCTCTAAAGTTTCTTCAGTTGGTGGGGCAGGGATGCATTTGCAGAACATTTTGCATAAAGCTGAGACCATATCCATTCTTCACACAGAGGCTCCCTAGGCCGTAGAGCTGCTGAAAGACCCCCTCACCAAACCCCCTCCCTCCCCCATGGTATTGCTCCTGCCCAGAGACAGATCAGTCCCTGGTCCAGGAAATTCCCATCACTGCCCCTCCCAATGATTCAGAAAATCTTCATTAATTAGGATATTCCATTTCCGCTGGCACCTTTAACTTAGTTTTTGTGTTAAGTAAATTGTCATTAATGGGTGTGGGCTGCAGATATATAGCAGAGTCAGTTTGTATTTCCAAAATGGTAAAGAAGAGTGGGAAAGTGATGGGAAAAAATATGAGGTGTTCTTAATTCAGCTACAGAGGACCGGAGAAGGGGGCAGAGATATGAGGGAGGTTCACCAGCTGATGATGGTTGGTAGAAACAAAAGGCTGCCTCCGTTCCTGAAAGCATGTTGGAACTTTGAATCGGCTTCCCAGTGGCTACTTCAGCTTTTATCTCAAGGGACTTAGCTGACAATCCGGACGCCGCCACAGCTTACTTACACGTGAACTTTTGGACTGTTGCCCACAGCCCATCCTCAGGGACTCTGCACCTATCCCAGAACTGCCTCTGCTTACCCTTTTCACCTCACCCATAGCCAATACAGAGTCTTTCAGAAGAACTCACATCTTTCTTCCCCACACCCATTACGTAAAAAGCTCCGTCACTCCAGAACAAGCCTGTCTTCTCCATGGAGCCCTGCCTCCTGCTGGCGTGTCAGACAGCCTGCCCGCCCAGGACCTGGTCCATTTTTCTGGCTAGCGGGTGGCTCAAAAAACTCTTTCTGAAAAGCTTTGGGCCACAGAGGTTTTCTTTTAAGAGAAGTAAAGAGCCTCGCTGAGACTCACTCCCCTCAGGAATGGCAAAGGGGCCGCTAAGGAAGGGAAGTGCTCCAGCGCCAGCTCCAATGGCTACTTCCAGCCCTGGGCAACGAGCTGGAGGGGGCAGCTTTCCACCCCTGGGTACGTACCTTTCCTCCCGACCTCGGGCGTCTGGGGAGGCTTCTCTTGTGGGGCTGCAGACAGAGCTGGGGAAGCAGGTTTCCTCTCTGTTTCTGCCTCTTCCTCCTTCTCCCTCCTCTGGGCCTTCCTCTCCTCAGGGGGTGGTGGTGAGGGTGGCCAAGGATTGCTGCTCTCCTGGTTCTCCTTACACGGCTCACTGGCCTCCAGGTCAGGCTTCCCCGGCCGCCGAGCCAGCAGCTCGCCCAGGTAGGGCCTGCTCAGTTTGCAGAGTGGGGAGGACGGTGGGGTCTTGTCGGCGGGCTTGGGTGCCAGCGCTGGCTTCTGCACCAGTGGCATTCTGTTTGCTGCCTTGTGCTCTGGAGCCGGGGTCTGGAGGCCGACTGGTGGGGGTCCAGGCTGGGCTGCAGGGGAGTGGCCGGAAGGGCTTTCGGCAGAGTCCTTCCAGGTGGACGGGGCTGGCTTCCTCTCCAGGGGAAGGGACGGGCCATGCTTCAGGGCCACACCCTCTGTCTCTTTCTCTCTGTCTGTGCTCCCTGGTGCAGGCAGCCCCCCATCGACACCGTCCCCAATGCTGCTGTGCCTTTTCTTCTTCTTCTGTTCTGTCTGCTGGTCACAGTGGAAGCGCAAGGAGTAGTTGGTCCTTCTCAACTTTATACCAAAAGGGGAGGCTTTATCCTCCCCACCTGGCATCAGGGGGTCTGGCTTTCCTATACCACTGGTGGTCTCGTTGTCTGACGTGGTCACACACTCTGCCTGGGCCGCTGCTTTCTGCAGAGGGTAAGGAAGGCTGGGAACAAGGAAAGATGGAAGGTCTTTGGCAAATTTGCACCCCTCGGTGGTGTCTGCTGGCTCCTGGTGCACCTCCTGATTCTCTGGGCCCTTCTGGTGCTCACTGCTATCAGCAGCCAGGGGCGGGGGCGCTGTCTCATCACTGGCTCCCAATGTGGGTCTTTTTCTAATGCCTTCGGCTTCCGCGTTTTGTTTGAGGGGCTCTGTGCCCCCATCAGAGAATTTCTGCCAGGCAGGCATAATGGAGAACTTCGCATTTACTGGCGGAGTCTTCCGGAGGTTCCCCCGGGAATCACACCGGCCCCTGGGGGGATGCTCATCGCCAGGCTGAGACGGGTCTCTCTTGCTGCCCTGGTCACTCTCTGCGTTCTTCAGGATTCTGGACCGAATGGAAGCCCATTCAGCCAGAGCGGCCACACTGCTCGAGGACTCCTGGGCGGGCCTGGCCTTCCTGCTGCCGGCCCGGGGGTCGGTGGGGGCTCGGGGTGGGTTCTCCAGAGTGGGGACATCCATGTGCTTCTTCTCTTCTGACAAACCCAGGAGAGACTTGCAGGCCGTGTCCTTGATCTGGCTCAGGTTGACAGCTGGGCCGCAGAGCTGTGCTCCCGTGACCAGAATGGCCGTGTGAGGGATGCTCAGCGCCGAGGGCAGAGTGTGGGAGGCAGGGCTGGCTTTGGCAGCCTTTGGCTCGTGGGGAGGGGAGGCAAGTCCTGCGTCCTTCACGGGCGTCACTGGGCTCAGGTTGACTTTGGGGAAGAGGATTTGTTTCCCGCCTGATGATACCTGGAAAGTATAGGGTCTGGGCATGGTCTGCCTCTCATCCACTTCCTGCCACCTGAGTTCCTCCACCTTTCTGTCTTTTTCTGGAGTGGCAGGTTCTTTCTTCTCCACTGCACTCAGCGTCTCTCCCACTTGCACCCCTTGTTTCTGGGGAGGGAGGACATTAGCTTCTTCTCTCTTTTCCCGACGGACACCACCATCCTGCCCATGAACGTCCCCCCGCTTTCCCTGCTGCTCTCCTGATGGCTCGGCCTCGTTGTTCTGCTTCTCGCTAACACTTGGTTCCTCGGCGTTTTCTCTTGGCCTCTCAGGTTTCAGGTGTTCTTGTTCTGGTTTCTCAGCCAAGTCAGTCTGAGGTGGGCCCCTGCCATCCAACTCTGGCCGACTCTCAGCCTCCATACTCAGGGCTTCCTGAGGCTCCTTTTCCACTTCCCGCCGCCTCTGTGCCTCCATTTCCTCTTGCCTTTTCCTCAGCTCTTCCCTTCTCTTCGCCTCCTCCTCCTCCCGCCGTCTCTGCTCCTCCAGTTCCTCCTGCCTTCTGAGCTCCCTCATCCGTTTCTCTTCTTCCTCCCTCTGTCTCCGCTCCTCCTCCTCCTGCCGCCTCTGCTCCTCCAGCCTCCTCTTCCTCTCCTCTTCCTCTCGCCTTTGCTTCTCAGCTTCCTGCCGCCTCTGCTCCTCCAGCCTCCGCTTCCTCTCCTCTTCCTCCAGCCGCTGCTTCTCAGCTTCCTGCCGCTTCAGCTCCTCCAGTCTTCGGAGTTCCTTTAGCTCTCTTTCCTCTTCTTCCTGCCATTGTTTCTCTGCCTCTTGCTTGCTTCGTGCCTCCAGCTCTTCCTGCCGCGGCTCAGCTTCTTCCTCCAGAGGCTTCTTCTCTTCGGCCTCCTGGTTCCTTCCTTCCCCTTGTTCCCTCTGCTCGTGGCCTCGGCCACCTTGCTCTTCCAGCCGCTGCCTCTCCTCCGTGCCATGCCCCTTCCCTGCATCTAGCTGTGGTTCTCTCTCCTCTCCCTCCTCGTCCTCTTCTTCCTCCTCCAAGAGCTCCTGCCTTCTGTTCTCTTCCCAGAGCCGCCTCTCCAGGGCCTGAAGCCTCTGCTCTTCCAGGCGTCTCCTCTCAGCAGCTTCAGCCTTCTGCCGTTTGCACTTGGCCTCCAGTTCTCGCCAGTATTCTTCTTGGCGTCTCTTCTCTTCCTCGGAGTCCAGTGGGTCTGGCTGCTCTTCATGCCACACTGGCTTGTCTTCTCCAGGGTGTCCGTTCTGCTCCAGGGGCGGCGGGCCCAGAAGGCTACTTTGTTCATTCAGTCGATCCTAACATTGGCAAGAGAAGCAGAATTAGCCTTCTTTTCACAGGCAACTACAACGCATCCTCGTTACAATGCAGGCAGCCCTTTAACTGCTAAAGACGGGGCAGTTCTCTTGGTTTTGGGATAGATTTTTAAATGCTCTTGTGTACCCCCGGGGAGCCCTGTGCACAGACCTTCTGCCCTAGGACTGTGGCAAAGGGAGGCCTTTCCTTTTCCAGACATGGGTCAGGGAGTTCAGCAGGGCCCTTTTCAGGTGACTCCTTAGGGTCTTCATTGCTTCTTTCTCACTTAAACAGTAGGAAACCCCATCTGTTACTACCCAGAGGAGTTGGTTTTTAGCTCAAAACTCAGTCATGTTCTCCATGGGTTATTTTGATTTCACTAGACTGTAAGCTCCCAGAGCTCTGCAAGGGCAAGAACTGTTGTCTGTTTTGTATTCTGCTGTTACTGCCAGCATCTAGATCAGTGTCTGGTGTATATAGTAGGTGCTCAATAAAAATGTGTTCAATGAGAACAAAAGAAAAGAAGGGGCAGCTCTGAGTACAGAGCTGGGTAAACTCAGGCTGTCACACCAAGAGCACACTGTGGCCGGGGGCAGCGGGAGAGGAAAGAACTGCACGTGTACTCTCTTTATTTATCATTCTCAAATTCCTTTTTCTTAAGATGGATTACCATAGGAAAGCCAATAGTCCAGGATTAGAAAGAACAGGAAAAAATTAGATTTACCCTTCGTCGATGTCCCCTGAAACTTGTGCCTTAGAAGTCCACCCTAATCAAAGTGAAGAAGCTTTGGCTGAGCCACAGCAGAGGAAGGCTGGGCCACCTTCCTGCTGCTGCAAAGCAAATGCAGAGCTTCCGCAGCCCCTCGGCAGGCAGCCTCTGAGGTCCCCCCGGCTGGGCAACGTGTTGGGAAGGGCGACAGCAAGGAAACGGGCCTGTTTCCCCGCCCACGCTACAGCACGCTCCGCTCCGGCCCCTGCAGGTCCCTCACACCGCCACCCTGCCTGCAGAAACAGTACCCGGCAAGCCAGAGCCGCTGCCCGGTCTGCCAGCACAGGTTCTACGTACCCTGGCAAGTCCAAGTCGCCTGTGCTTCTTTGACACCCTCTGGTTTTTTGGCTTCACTGACAGTTTGTGCTTGGCGGCACTGTTGTCTAGGCGAGCGATGGCCAGGGGGATGGCATCTAGGTTGACACTTTCGATGGTGCCAGCAGAAGAGAAGTGCCTCTTTGGCCGAGACGGTTTAGCGGGAGCTGCCTTTGGTGGAGATGACAATGTATAATCAGTGCGGATCAAAAAGCAACCGGCGGGGAATCTGGGAAGGGAAGCGCTTCCTGGTGCCTGCGCCTTGGCAAGCAGAGGCGGCGTATCTGTACAGTGAAAGGAGCATTGCTTTTGGAATCAAAAGACAGGATGTTCACTACTTGTTCTGCCAATGCTATTTGTGTTAATTTGTAGTAGGTAAACTTTCAGGGACTAATTTTCTTATTCTGAATAACATGGAGATTAGATTAGGGGTTGACAAAATCTGAATCCTGTCCGCAGTCTGTCCTGGTAAAGTTCTGCTGGCACACAGCCACACCCATCGTCACTGTCCTTGGCTGCTTTCATGCTACAAAGGAAGAGTACAAAGGAGAGTCTCATAGTTGGACCTTCTGGCCACAGATTCTAAAGTGTAGTAGGTCACTGAGCCCTGGACAAGCTCACCTCTGTGTGAAGATCTGTAACTCTAAGAGCGTTCCCACTACCTCCAACACCATCTAAACATACCTCCTCTCCTGTCTTAGCAAGGAATGTGTCTTTTTCATTTTTGAATCAGTCTTCTTCATGCCCAAGTAGCAAACCCCATTTGGCAAGTACTCAGTAAATATTTGTTAAAGGAATAAAGGAGCAATAGTGTAACATCTCTGATTAGGGTGAGAAATTTCTAACCTGGAAAAATGTTGTAGCACCATCACTTCAAAGTCATGGAGCCCTGGAGGCCCTGAGAAGCTAAAGAGGGGAGCAGAAACATGTCACACGCCAGGGAGATGGCAATTCCGCAAAGGATGGATTGCGGCACCGCTCGCTCGCAGTCCACACCTCGGATGAACTGTGCAGATTTAGACAGGTCAGAGAGGTAGTGGCTCAGCCTGAACCCAGAGGCACAATGAATCAGGTGTAAGAAGCCACACCTGTAACTACACAGCGTTCATGGGCAGGCAGCAAAGTAAGGGCTCCTGGCTGTGTCACACACCACGTCAACACGTGGCAGGGGCCGCTCACAGCTCCATGGCCCGTGCCAGCGGCTGTCAGGCACAGGAGCCATGGTGGAGGCTGCATGTCAGCAGGAGCCACGGTTCAGCTGACCGAACTCTAACCACAGCCTCAGTGGAGCTTAACCGAGGGCTTTGCTTCTTGCAATTACCTTCCATATTTACCCGCAAAAGCTGAAGCACCAACCTAGCTCCAAGAGCAAAGGGGATGCTCCATGAATAATAACTTACGACAAGAAGGACAGAAGTAAGGAAAAAGTAATCCCAGCCGTTGGTCCCTAGCCTTTATTCATTTATGGTTATCTTTGAATACTATCAAATTCTGAACTACTGTTGAAAAGAGATGAATTAAACATTTATTTCCATCACCTACTAGATGCATGAGTAGAAGGAGCTGGAACCAAATGTGACAGGTTGAAGACATAGATTAGGACTAGAAGCTGAGATTGAAATGCAGGGTTTCATTTCTAGGTATCCGTGCTGGGCCTCTTCACCGGCTGGGCCGTGCCCCTGTCTCAGACCATCTCCCCCCGAACACCTGGGGGCACACCCTGCTCACAGTGCTGCCTGCCAGACCCTGGGAGGACCCTGGACCCCTGTGCAGGGGAAAAGTCCTCATGGCAGTGGACTGGTCTCTCCAGAAGAGGTGTCCACGAGGTTCTGCAGGGTTCCCTAGGGTCCTGCGGGAGAGGACCCAGGTTTCAATGGCACACAAAAAAGCTAGAAAACAAAAATACGTACAAGTGGAGAATTGATAGGGTCCTTTTTTAGGCATCTCTAAATAGAAGACGACTTTTTTTCCTTACAGACTTGGGTACCTTCAGGAAAGTCTTTTTCAACAACCTAACAGAATCATGAAGTACATAACGTATTTAGGAAAATGCCTGACGTCTAGGGCTCCAAAGGCAGGCATGCTGGGCAGGCGGCTATTGTTCAGAGCAGGACTCAGTTCCAGCGTTTGCATTACCGTGGAAAGAGGTGCTCCAATATCCGCCACTGGTTGCATTTGGAAGAAATTTACAGTAATGGACGAAGACAGCATCGATGAATGGGCAAATGAGGCAGAAGATTGTAAAAAAAAAAAAAGGGCGGGGAAATAAGGAAGCAAAATAAATGTATAAGTTCAAATCACATTACCTTCTCTTCCATTTCGCTTCTGGCTCCAGGCAGATTCAGGGGACTCAGAGAACCTGGTGTGTCGCTAGACTGGAACGGTGAAGAGAGCACTTCGGTCACACGCCAGAACAGGAAGTTTGGGGCAGCCACCCAGACACCATCTGTGCCCGGAAAGGGCCACCCCCTCCTCCACACAGGTGTGCAGCTGGCTTCAAAGAGCCGGCAGGAGTCGCAACAGGGGCTTTGCTAATGTCCAGACTCCCCAAGGACCGCCGAGGCATGGAGCGTGCACTCCCTGTCCCCCGCGCCCACACGCTTGCCCTCTGGGCCGTCTCCCTCCGCGGTCCGATCCTTGGTGTGTTTCCCCATTGCTAAGAGAATCTGCGGCGGGGAGGGGGCTGCCCCACCTGGGAAGCAGGGCCCCAGCCTCAGGGCTTTCACTTTGCTGGCTGTCTTCCACCCCCTTCACCTGCCGAACCTCTCACCTGTAAGCCAGACCTCTTCTCTATGAGAAGAAAGGAAGGCCCTACCAATGCGACATGCAAAGGACTCAGCAGAGCAGGTGAATGACCAGAGATGGGGAAACAACTCGGGAAAGAAGGAAAAGAAAAAGGCTGAAGGCTCCCACCCTGGTCGCAGCCGCCTGCCCTGGGAACACCCACACCGCGTCACCTGCACCTTTCTACCTATCTTTTTTTTTTTTTTTTTAAGATTTTATTTATTTATTTTGAGAGAGGGGAAGGGAGGGAGAAAGAGAGGGAGAGAAATATTGATCGGTTATATCTCATCTGTGCCCTGACTAGGCACCGAACCCTCAACCTAGGCATGTGCCTTGACCGGGAATCGAACCCACAAACTTTTGCTTTGCAGGACAATGCCCAACCAATTGGGCCACCCCGGTCAGGCTGCCCCTTTCTGATGACTCTTTACACCTTCCGCCGTGTATAGGCAATATTTGCAAAAGGGTCTTATTGTCCCTGCCAGCGTGGTAATGTGAACTTGCCCTACCTCAGTCAGTTTTCAGCATCACACTTACAAGCATCTTTAGGAAACACAGATTATGTCACTGCCCTGCCTCGCATCACTCTGAGGCTCAGAATTTGCCCATTTCCAGTGGCCCTCAGGGTCCGGCCCCTGCGCCACACTCCACTCTCCCACCGCCCTCCGCGAGACGCCAGGGGGCCGACCTGGCCCACCCCTCCTTTAAGACAAGCTCAGTCCCTTCTCTGGGTCTGGGCCTTGCTGCCTGCTCTGTCTAGAACACGTCCCACCCCCAGGTCTGCTCAGGGGAGCTCTGACCTCTTTCTCTTTCCACTTGTCCCCAACAAGTCACTTACTGTTCCATTACCCTGTTCTATTTCCTGTGTAGCATTTTTCTTGATCTGAAATTATATTTATCTATTTGTTGACTTCTGTGTCATATGACTCTCCTCATTACAATATAGACTACCTGGAGCGGCCCCTAGTCTATCTTGTTGGTGTCTGTGACACCCACAGCTGGGGCAGCGGCTGGCTGAACAAATGACCCTCCCCCCACCCCGCCCCCAGCAGCTTGTGTGTATTAGGTTATCAGTAAGAGTGAGGACGCTTGTCGTTGGGGAATCCCTGCCGGAGAGGCTGCAGAGAGCGTGTCTGGCTGCAGGGGGAGGAATCGGCCCGTCCCTGCTTCATCCACCCCCTACGTGTGTGAGCGCCAGGAGTCACCGGGGCAGGCCCAGACAGAGATGGGCGACAGGCGGGACAGGCCTTTCCTTTCCTTTCTCGCTTTGCTCTGAACATGGCTCATCTTTCTTCCTAGCCTTAGGCCATATTAGCTAATAAACAGCATGACTACTCAGCGGGGGGCATGCCCGTTTCAATAACATGCAACGTAATTTTGGGCACCTTGGTGGGGAGAGCACAGAGGATGCTTTAAGACTGGAAGATGCAGTGTCTTACTGAGGGAGCTCCTTCTCTAGCTCCTTTTCTATAAGGGGCCTGAGGGTGTTCCTTTTGCGGCGAGGAGGACTCTCATTTCAGGATATGCTCGTAGCGTTTGTTGTTGTTCTTGTTGTTGTTTTTCAGTGTCAAAAGACCAAATTTAGAGAGAACAGTGCTGGACCAATGTGACTTTCTTTCTACACTAATTAGACGTCACGCTGGTCTGTTTGATATGCTCTATCTCGTTGACCTACTTCTTTCTTTTCTTATTTCCCTTTAAGTTAGTCCAATCCAATAAGTAATTACTGTGCTACCAAGTAATTACTAGCAAAATCCTGGGGAGACAGAGATGCATAAGATCCAGTTTGTCCCCAAGGAACTCACCGTTTAGAAATGGAGGAAACAGTTAGGGGGACACGGATACAGAGGGGCTTCGGGTGTGTAACAAGGGCTAAAGACGCACAGCCAAGGCGCGGAGGAGAGAGCACAGCCTCGGGGTGAGGCCAGGGAAGGCTTCCCAGAAGAGGTGGGCCAACCTGCGCCTGGGAGAGTAAGTGGAAGACACTGGGAGGAGCACGTGCAAGGACGCGTCTCCTCTTCCGCCCGCTCCTCCAAGGTGGTCCCACTGCAGATCAAGGCACCTGCCCGTGAAGTACTCTCCAGCCCCAGGCTACTCGTCAGAAAAGCTTCTCCCACCTTTCCCCCTGCACTGCAGACCCCAGGGTTACTGGATGCCTTGTCCAGTGTCCAACATCCTCCCCGGCTTGTTAGCCGTCAAGCCATTGCCTGAAGGAGCCTTACTTTGTTCTCGGTGTCTGAGAGGATGATGTCCTGCTGAGTTACAGTTTCCATGGGACTGGCCAGGGACAGATCCTCTTCTAAGCCAGCCTCTCCACTGTCTGCCTTCTTCATGGGAGTGGCACTGGGTGGCGGCTGCCCAAACTTGATGTTCTTGCCCAACTGTCGCTAGAGGGAAACAAAAGAAAGAAGTTCTGAAGCAGCAGAGCGGTTTAGAGTAACCACAACCAGATTCCCCTGCGTGTCTAGTAGGCACTGAGTCATATTCTCTTTACAGCTGCTTTCTACACACCGTGCCAGTACAGCACGATGCCGTCCCGGCATAAGTGAATGCATCTTCCAGCTTCTGCTCGTTTTCTTTCCCACCTTTGAGCCATGAGCTTTATCATCCAGCCACCTCTTCCATGGAGCTGTCCATTTCCCACAGGGTAGAAAGACCAATTTCTGAACCAAAAGTTGGGATAGATGTTATGGCAAAATATTTTCCATTGACCTCTAAGTTAATCTACATTTGTACAGAAAATAGTTACATGAAATGCAAGCACCCCTGGGGAAATCAAGACCCTTGTGGTCTCTGCAACAAGGGAGCCCTCCAGTCCCCTCTGGACAATTCCCCTTGAATATTTATACTTCAACTATCTTCCTCACCAGCTTGAACATCACGTTCTGGTCACAGTGGGTACCGCTGTCAAGGTGACGAAGGCCCCAAGGCCAGCACGTCTTTCCATGATCAATACTGAAACCATGGAAGGGACAGAGTCTTGTCCTGCCACCGGGGCCTCCTCTTTGCCTTGCTTTGGCTGCCCACTGTGAACTAGGAGAAGATGACTCCACGTGGGAAAGGGAGAGAGAAATAGGCAGGAGAAAAGCATCAAGGAGGGACTGCTTGCCAGTGGGTGGGAGCTAACAGGACAGGAAGAAGGGATGGAAAAACGGGGTAAAAATTAGGAACAAAAATAGTATTTGGAATTAGAGAAAAGCAAGATTAGAAAAGGAAATACTCGTATATTCCCTGAAGAAAAAATATATAAACACAATAGCTAAAGACGGGGCAAAATATTTAAAGGGCTGTGGCAGAGACAATGAATGACACTCAAGAAGAAAATGAAGTATATGCTGTGGTAATCTGAGCGACCGCTGGACTGAGTGCGATCTACAAGCTGCTCGCTGCCTTGACCTAGGGCAGGGCTTCTCCGCCTCGGCCCTACCGGCCTTTTGGGCCAGGTCATTCTTTGTCGTGGGGAGCTGTCCTGTGTATGGCAGGATGTTTAGCAGTACCCATGGCCTACTGGACACTAGACGACAGCAGCAATCCCTCTTCTCCCAGTCGAGACAACCAAAATTGTCCCCAGGTGTTGCCCAATGTTCCTAGGGGTGGGGGTGGGGGGTCAAATTGCCTTCAGCTCAGAACTGCTGCTCTAGATCCAGGTACCTGGGTTTCATAGTCCTTTTATGCCTCACAAAAAGAAAAGAGTACATTATCTGATATTTATCTTTAATTGGGCTAATACTGAATCCCACAGAGCTGCAAAGAACCTTTGCAATCATGTAGTTCAACCCCTCACTGTGCAAAAAAGTCAGAGGTCCAGTAGGGAGAGGTGGCTGGCCCAAGCTTATGAAAAGAATGAGTGGCCTCAAAGGACTATGAATGTAGGTCTTCTAACACCACAATCAGTGTTATTTTCATTGTACTCTGCTGGTTCTTATAAATTTGACATCACCCTTCCTTCATATAGGGACAGGGATAAAAAACATGATGCAGCATTTTTATACCTTACTGAAGTTTCCTGGCCAAGAACTCCTCAAGGGAAGTGCCCCTTGTCCCTCTGAACTCAGGGTACCAAATCCACCCACCTGAACCCAGCTCCCCCTCAGCCTTGCATGGTGGATGGTGAGACCAGAAAGGCATGAAAGAGATGAGCCTACGACTCCCCTGCCCGCCCCCTGGGCACCCCAGCATGCCAAGTCAGGAACACAGAGAGACATGGACATGTGTTTGCTCTGCTGGCATTTCAGCCTCAGCCTGGCTCCCCCAACACCAACCGCAGGGAAGGCACACATATCAAAAGCCCGAGGTCAGCCAATGAAGTACAGCTTGAGCAGCCTAAAAGGTTTCAGGGCGGAGAAGGCTGAAGATGGGTGTCTTCTGAAAACAAGTTTAGCAGGAAGCGGCAGTTAGTATCTACTCTAAGCAGATCCATAAGCAGGCACGGTTAGAACAGCCGATGGAGTTAGACAAGAGGACAAGGTCACAGGCCCAACTCCCTCTACTGCCCTGTGGGAAAGGGACGGGAACCTCGGCAGAAGGGGTGGGAATTGTTCTTATGTCTGGGATTTGCAGCCTAGCCTTGGGTGTCCCAGTTATCCCTGCTCTCGGGGTGCTGGCCAAGAGCTGAAAACTGTTCTAAGTCCCCTGAGACGGAGACCTCCCATTGTCAGGCTCTGCCATCTGCTGCTGCTCCTGAATGACTAAGTGAGGGGGTTTCTTCTCCTTACCATGGAAAGGACAATCTGGAATGAGCTTCCAAGGAGACCTTGGCCTAATACTATATAATTTAGTGGGGGGTTTTTTGTTGGTTTTTTTTGCCACCATCACAAGAAAGAATGAATGTGCTGATATTTTACTTCATTAGGGTCTTTCTAGAATACTGCTGTTGGTCCACCCTGATGCTTAGCGGACAAACAAGGATATGGCAAAATGTCATCATAGTCTCCTACAGAAGGGATGGTTATCATGGCTACCAATGGAAAATGAAAGATAAAATGGAAAAAAAGCCCCCAAAACAACACCAAAACCTGAGTAAGTACAGGAGACATTAAGTCCATGGGACAAAGGTGGGAAATGAAGAGCAATGCTAAGAAATGAAGTAGAATGTTAGAGAGACGAACAGAGAGGACGGTGCAGGGTCAGAGGAAATGCATGGAGAGGAAGAGTGGCAGGCCCAGGAAGAGTTGTGGGCGGAACTGAAGGTACAGCAGCTGAAGGCTGGGGCGTGGGGGGGGGGCATGGTGGGAGGGGGAGGGGAGAGGAGGGAGGATGTGTGGATAGCAAAGGGTTGATTTATGTCACAGTTATGTTCAATCTGGCAAAAGAAACACATGCGGTTGCAGTTGTGCATGACAATGTGCATCTCCGTAAAACAGCTGATTTAAATTTCCTCCCGAGAAAATAAATTCAGGCTGGTGGCTACGGGGCCCAGGAGGAGGGAGCAGGATCAGGGGAGGGGAGGACCTAGGTCATCAAAGAAATGATGGCAACCGTTTAGGGACGGGGCTGCAAACCTCTCTGTCAAGACACAGACACATCCTGCCACTGTCAGAAACAGGACCCTAAGTGGCCTGGGGGACTCAGGGTCCAAGGCCACAGGACTGATCTCCAGGCTCTTGGGGTCAAGGTTCCTGCACCTGCACATTTTCCCTTCTCTGTGGTCCCCACTACATCCAAGGCTTACTTCAGCGGACTCCAAGAAGTCTGGGCCGCCACCATGCTCTGCGGTTTACTGAGAATTAGATCGCTATTGCTAAAACCTATTCAGCAATCTCAGGTGTCCTATGAATTGAATACAGGGATAAATATGGCTTTTTCTTTACTACAATTCTGTCCACTATTCCGACATTGTTATAGAGAAACTTTCATACAAGCAATCACTGAAAAGCAGACTGCTAAGATGAGCTTGCCCTTAAGTTTTCAGAGAGAAAAAAAAATCACTACTTTTTTTTTTTTTTTTAATATTCATGGATCCTTCTACACACTGTGGTTATAACCAGAGGGGAGAGTAGAAAGTTGTGCCTGTACTGTGAGTCCATGTTGCTTGCAGCTATGAATGGTGTGTCTGTTGAGACTGGAATGTGAACTAAAAGGGACTATATTTTATTCATTCAAACTGGGCCATTTTGTTGTAATATGGAATGCTGGAGAGTGATGTTATAGGAATGCGCATCCATATTTATGAGGCTTTTTATATGGTGTGGAAATTCCAAGCATGTCATATTCTGCAGCTCTCACAGTGCCAGTCTTTAGAGTCCCCCAGATTTTTCATTCTTCAGACTATGTCTGCAAGTATAAAGCAGAGGAAGGATAAAGTTGCCATCTTCTCGAGCAAACTACAGGCGCTCCCACAGTTAAAAAAAAGTGAAAAAGAAAGGCAAAAGAAAAAGCACACAAATTAGAGACATCTGCTCTAGGAAGAAGTGGTGAAGAGCAGGTATTTATCTTCGTATCCTAGACAGCTGCATGAGGTGTCCAGACCCTCAAGCATTTGACACTTGGGCATTTTTAATTGAAATCCAGCTCAGCAGGAGACAGTGGCTACTGAGGATAGAGGTTTTTCTTCTTGCGCTAAATCGTTTGTAGACTAATGCACTCAGCATTTCCTGACAAAGGTGTGGTGTAATTCTAAAAATTACCTGCAGGCTTAGACTGTGGCATTCGTGAGTTTTATCGTTGGTTGGTAGATACTTCGAAGCTTGGTCTGATCTAAAATAAACAGGTACCGCCCTGATCTGTGCCCTGGGCGGCTGTGGGAAAAGTCAAGGTCACTACAGTCCAAATGCAACGAAGCGCAGCTCTTACGAAGCTACTCGTGCTATACCAGATGAACAGTGATTCAAATAGTTTGCCACAGAAATTTTCGCAGGTGGTAGATTCACATTATTCAGAAACGTGTAGGCATATTTACGCTGTATTCAGTCATCCTGTACTCCGTAGAGGGATACTAACTGCTGAGCGTGCAGCGGACGACAGTTTTAGCAGAGCTGACTATATGTGGCCTCTAGAGGGCAACCTTTCCAAATACACTCATTACAGACACAGTACTGTGGGTTTCCAGGGGCTGGGAAGTTTAAGTCAGAGAAAAATGTTTGTTTTGTTTTGTTTTAAATGGCATTCCAGAAGAAATCTCATTTCGAAAGAATGCCTCAATAATAGTGGCTAATCAGCTTGCTAGGACACTTACTGTCAAATAGGTTTTATCCATTACTTCTCTCTCTTAAAAATAAATATACACAGATACACAACGACAATTTTAGACATTAAAAGAAAAACATACATGCCTCTGACGTAACTAAACACCCTCATTCCATGCTGGAGTCTGCGCGGGGTGGTCTGTTATGCTGCTTACTAAGCATCAATACCAGCATAATGTTGTCATGGAAAAATGCAAAGCATTCATGCAATTTAATAGAGTTAACTACTATTTCTACGACTTACCAGGAACATACTGCTTAGTCGACTGAAAAATAAAGCACAGTCTTTTGGGGATGATACAGTTATATCTTATGTCACTCCAAAAATTACATATTCTATGATAATGGTCCCATTTCCCTCCTCAAAGAGCAAAGCCTTTTATTTATTTTTTTAAACAACTATAGAGCTGTAAGGAAGCTTGTCAAGCTGTATAGCAGAAGCAAAATTAGGAAAACCTGACATGAATAGGTATTGTCAAAAGAGAGCCCTCAAATTGGACAGCTATTCTGCTTTCCTCACAGTGTTAATAGAAAGAATTGTTGCTTCAGGGAAGCTGTTTGTTTTACATTTATTAATTATGAGATGATGTACTTTAAAATTGCGCCTTCCTGTTAATGGGAATAACAGGCAGTCCCATACTTTACTGAGTTCCTACATTTTCAATCCTGTAGTGTTACATATCATTTACCCCTCCAAATCCACTTCTTGGAGTGGCAGTGGCATGTCCTGTGATGTAACTGAGTAGGTATCATTTCAGACAACACATGAACCACTACCTGATTTTTAAAGAAGTCCTAGAAAGCCCTCCCAAAATACAGCTGTTTCATGGACCGAAATCTGTAAGTCACTCCTCTTAGAGAGCAGATGTTATAAGCCAGGGGTTCAGAGCTTCTAAGGAATAATATTCCAGGAATCAAAAGATTTCAAGATGGAAAGTTAATTCTCCAACCTGTGAGAAGTGACAGCTTGCTTTTCCTTCTGAGTCTTCAGGTAACAGCACAGCCAGCAAGCACCAAGAATGCAGCCTGGTTAGGAAATGTTGGAATTTGAAGGAAGTGCCTGGGTGTGCTCTGAGGGCAGGACCACGGCCTTGGACAGTGGTGGCAATAGGTCTCAAGATCTAGACAAGTCTGGGTGTGGCACCAGGGTGTTGGCTCTTTCCTTGCTTGCCATATGCTATGTTCAGCTGTGTGTGTTTGTGTGTGTAATATGCGCTGAAACACCGATCACAAAATATGTACCCAATGTTCAGTAGAACCAAGAACATTTCAAGAAAACAGAAAACCTTGAGTATAATGCTTCATCCTGTCAGTACCTACTCAAGCCAGCTGTTTCTTTTTTTGCTCACTCACTCACTGCTGGAGATGTACAAACAGATGGAAACCAGCGAACCAGAGTTCCACTTTCCTAATTTGGATCGCCTCCAGGCACCCCTGTCTCAGAGAAGTGCGGCTCAGGCACTTCTGCCGGGTGAGCGCGTACTTGCAAGCAATCGAGCAAACAATCCTGCACAGTCAGATCCCAGGTGCTTCCACTCCCTTGTTTTCCCTGGAGTCCCCATTATCTGCATCACATTTAGTGAAGACGTATTTTTTTTATACAGTTGATCCTTGAACAATGCAGGAGTTAGGGGCACCAACCCCCATGCAACTCAAAATCCACAGACGACTTTTGACTCCCCCAAAACTTAACTACTCATAGGCTATTGATGACCAGAAGCCTTACCAATAATATAAACTGCTTATTAACACACATTTGTATGTTATATGTATTACATCCTGTATTCTTACACTACGGTAAGCTAGACAAAAGAAAATGTTATTAAAATCCTAAGAGAAAATACATTTACAGTATTTATTGAAAAAAAGCTGCCTATAAGTGGGCCTGTGCAGTTCAAACCTGTGATCAAGGGTCGACTGTATTTTCATTATTGAGGAGTTACCACCTGAGCCAATTTTACCTAGGAAAACTGCCCAGTCCTGCAGCTGGAACAGGGGGAGGTTTAAGAGCTTCAGGGTAGTCCTGTGAGACAAGGGGGCCTGCGGGCGGGGGGCGCAGGTTCAGAATCACAACCCCATTCACCGTGCAAGCAGGGAGCCTTGGGGAGAGAGCAGCTGTGCGAGCCCTCCCGCCCAACAGTCGGCCTGTCCTTGGGGATCATGGCCAGCACCTGAATGGTTAGGAACTCCTTCCTCCCACCAAGCTTCCCTTGGGTGCTTGTCCTCAGGATGTCCACTTAAAAATAAGGGAACAATGTGAGAGAATAGGAGAGGGGCTGTTATGGAGGTGGGTACAATGGTAACAATGCACCTCTCACAGGTGGACAGAAGGCTTAGAGAACTGACTCAGGTTCAGATAAGCAAAAATTCTCAGCAGGGGCTCCCTGACCCCCCCGCCACCCCCCGCAGAGCTCCCCAAACACTATTCAAGGCTAAGCTGCGGATTTTCCCCACTTCCCTGCATAGCCAGGCCCCCTCCTACGGTTCTAACCTTCCAGTCTCAAGCTGTCTTACCTGAAGAGTTTTGACTTTGCCCAGGATGTTGTCCTGTGACATTGCTTGAACTGTCTGCTCACTTTCTGCTCCCCCATCAGGGATAAAAATACTGTCATGGGAAAACGCCCGGGTTCCCATAGAATAGTTGAAGGACCTGGAATGCAAATCATGTGCTTCGTTTTATTAGGATGATAAAATTTCTTTTGGCAATTAGTTTCCTGTTCCTCCTGATTTGGGGGCTCCACCCACATCCCCTGTCTCGCCCAGCACCGTGTCCTTTACTGCTATGGGTCAGCCAAGTAGCTGGGCAGACAGAAGGGTCCCACAGGAATGAGGGGGCGTGTCTCCACCACAACAACATGTCAGAGCCACTCGCTGAGAGCTCCGGCAGTCCTGTATCTGTAGGGGACCCGGGACAGAGGGCCCCGCAGAGCTTTGATTAGGAGGAGCCTTCCTCCTGACGAGCTGTCACCATCAGTTCTACCCCAGCAGGTCTTGTCAGCCACCATTTTTAAGTAACATTTGGATCTAGAAGTATGAAGGCCAGGGTTTCCTTCTTTCAGATTACAATCGAGTTGGAAGAAAGACAAATACATTTAAATGAGGAGTAGAATTGCTGATAAGGACTACAGGAATGAAGAATCTTTCTCCCCAGCCTCCACAGGAATTCAGAGAAAGGGCAGTTCTGACAGGCTTCATGCACCCTGATGAGCTCCTGGTATAGGTAGCCAACCATAAGCACTTCCACTGAAGGCTTGGACTTCAAGAAGTCCAGATTTCTATCTGACAGGGAGGTACAGACAGGCTGAACTGCAGGAAGCAGCAGCAGCAGCAGAAGCCAACTGGTCTGACTTGCACTTGGAAACAAACTCCTGGGAAGGAAGACACATCCAGGCTGCTCGCAGGGAAGGCAGGATCGCACACCCTCCCTGGGGCGCGCACACAGGCAGCACCCCCCCCTCCCCCGGGTGACAGAACGTCACTTCTTCCTCTCCATCCCCCACAAAGGTTATATCAGTGACCACCTGGAGGTTTCATCAGTGACCACGTGCCAAATGCAGCGGGCAGGGGTCCAACCAAGTCTAGACCTAGCTGGGCAGGTTGAGCACCAAATCTAATTTGCCAAATTACAGGCAGTATGGCAAAAAACAAACAAACAAACAAACAAACAAACCACCACAAGAGGTTAAGAAACAAAAGATTTAAATGAGAGCCTCCTGGCTGTGTGGTCTTAGGCAACAACAATAAAAACGACAACAAGCATCCCTCACACTTGGATGAAAACATTGTGCTGAGCTTTACTTTCGTCATCTCATCATCGGCACCTGGCTGCGGAGGAAACCCAGGGAGCAGACAGCCTTATCCTAGGTCACCCGAATCTACTGCTTTTAAGTAGAGGGAGAAGCTGAATTTGGACCTGGTGTCTTAAAGTAGTGGAAGGTCTTAGAGCATCCCTCCCACGAGTGGAGGGCCTGTGGGGGGTCTGTGGGAGAGGAAGGGGGCTGGAAGTGCCATGGGGGCTGGACCATGGGAGGGCTGGACATACTAAATAGCTAGAATAATGGGCAGGCCTTTGGCTTACTAGCACGAGATGCCATAGAGCAGCAACCCGCTGTATGGAATATGAGGCATTATTTGAGAATATGAATATGAATATGGAGGAAAATGAAATATATCATTATCTCTCTGCGCTCAGAGAATTTGTGATCTATGTTACACATTGAACTTCCAGGTTCATCTAAAGATGCTATGAAATATGCTTTTCAAAGTTATTGAACCTTTTAATATTCTCCTGTCTAAACTTCTCCTCAGATTCCTGGTTATGAGTCAGATGGGAGAAGAGGTAACTGATTTCCTTTCTATACAGTGTTTTTATAATGGTTTATATACATACGCAGGCTCTCAGATATTCATACATGCACATATACATACAAGTCCATATCAGATGCTTAATAAATGGTTAATAATGTCTCACAGTTGTGTGTACACAATACACCAGTGCTGTGCCCAGTTCCCTTCCAGTTTCCAAGTTAATTTTGCTCCCATGCGTTTTTCCAAATAGGCTAAGAACTGAAATTCTGCTCTCCTGTGTTGCCTCAAACATTCCCAGTTGTCAGCCAGGATTTAATGTTCACCCATTTCAGATGATCATATTGAAAAATAGAGACAATGAATGGTAGTAATAATAATAATAAAGTAATAATTGTAATAATAGTGCTAGTCACAGGAGTAATGTTAATACTAGCTAAATCTTATCAAGCTTTTGCTATGTACCTTGCACATGTGTTAATCTCTTTAATACAATAGCTAAGTCATTTTGATATATAATACTTATACCTTATGTGGCAGGCACTATTATTAAGCCTATTTTATAGATGAGGAAACAAAGGCTTAAAGACAGTGAGTGACTGGCCATAAATTAAGTGACTGTAAGTGTATGTGAATCTGTTTCTGGCCTCTGTTCCACTAGTCAACTTGTGTGGGTGCAAATTTTTTTTTGTTTGCTTGTTTTTAGCAATTATCCACACTATCTTAATTAGCATAACATTTTTGTTAGTATAGAATGCTTTTTATTTTTGCTTTTTCTATTTTTTGAGATATAACTCATGTAAAGTGCTAAAATCATAAGTATACAGCTTGATAAATTTTTACACATGTATGCAACTGTGTAATCCCCACAAACATCAAAATATAGCTATTTGCTTTACCCTGGAGGTTTCCTAGTGCTCTTTTCTAGAGAAAAAACAAATCCTCTACTATTATTCTGGTAATCACAATTCTGAGGTCTAACACCACAGATTACACTATAGCTTTTTAATGAGTCTTGGTACCTAGTAGTTTAAGTTCTCCAGCCTTGATTTCCCCCCGCCCCAAGATGGTTACTCTTATCTCTTCATGTTTGTATGATCGGGTTGCCTGTGACAAAGGAAAGCTTTATTTCTTCATTTTTAATCTTACTCCCCGCCCCCCACACTGCATTAGTTAGGATCTTCATACAAAATCAAATAGAAGTGGTGATGGTAGACTTTGTCATATTCCCAAAATGAGCAAGAAAACGTTCAATATTTTACAATAAGTTATGATGTTACCTGTAGAATTTCTGTAGATTATATTACTGCTTCTTTGAAAAGAAAGGCAGTCTAGCTTTTCTTTCTAGCTGATTGTAAGATTTTCCTTTTAGTCATTGCTTTTCAGCAGGTGTGGGTAGCCGTGTATTCTAACTTACTCGGGTGGGGGTGTATAATACTTCAGGTGGGGGTTTGGTGTCTTTCATCAGTTTTGGCAAATTCTCTGTCATTACCTCTTTGAATATGGCTTCTGCCCCATTCCCATTATTCCGCCTGATTCTTCATTATTAGAACCTTTCACCACGAGTCATGTGTCTTTACGCTGTTTTCTGTATTTGTCATTCTCTTTACCTAAGATGATTCAGTCTGGATTTTCTACCAACTCAGCCTTCAGATCATTAATTCCCTTTTGTTGTGTCCAATCTGCTGTTAAAACTACCAATTGAGTTCTTAATTTCAATAGTATTTTTCAGATATAGAAATTCCATTTGATTCTTTTTAATAGATTCCAATTCTCTGGTAAAATTCTCCATCTTGCCAACTATTTTTGAATATATTAATCACAATCATTTAAAAGTCTATCTGAAACTGCAGTATCTGAGGCCCCTTTGGGTCTATTTATATTATCCTGTTTTCCTCATAGCCTGTTTCTTAGCTGCCTAGTAAGTTTTTAATTGAATTCTCTACGTCCTGCATGAAAAATTGGAGAGGCTGGGTTGTTTTCTCCTTCCAGAGAGGATTCACAGGCTTCTCTAGCTGACCTCAAGCCAACCAGGGACTGAGCTAATCAAGGCTGGTTAGCAGTCCTTGTAAGACTCAGAATACCTCTACTTTGTCCCCTCTTCTAGGGTACAGGCCACCTGAAGTCCCAGCTAATAACCTGGGTTTTTCCTAAGGTGGTGGGTCCCAAATCCCACTTTCGTCTTGCCAGTACCAGTGACAGCCCCAAACCCTGCCCTGCTTTCCAGCCTCTAACCCATCCTGCTTCACCAACACATGCCTCAAAAAAACTGTTGCTTGGGTTTATGTTCATTTTTCTGGTCTTCTCTTGGGGATTTTAGTGCCTCAAGTCCTGGTTGTCTGGCCAGCCGCTAGCTCTAACTGTTGTGTTGCCAACCCCATCAGGTGGCCTGCCGCCTTCTCCACCTCTTGACAGCCACCCCCAGCCTTTGTGGTCTCCTGCCCTACAGTGAGAGTCAACTAACGCCCACAGGAGAGAAGCAATGTGCAGAAAGTTGGGCTCGACTCAGTGGGCTTCTCTTCTCTCCAGGATCTCGTTGCTCAAGTCTGGTTCCTCAGCCGCAATCTGATGCCTTCAAACAGATGTCTTTAATATTCTATTTGTATTCCCAGTTGTTCTTGGTGGGAGCACTGATATGCCCTGAGCTACTTCATCACAGCTGTAAGTGAAAATGATTAAATAACTTCTTGACATTTATTAAGTTTCTACACATCAGAACATACTTGTAGGTATGGCCATGGCTCTTAAGAGGATCACTTTACAAAGTGGCCAAAAACATTTGTACTTTTTTCTCCTTGTATCTGGTTTTTGTCCCATTTTAAGAAGAAACAGTGGAGTAGAATGATTATTGGTTTATTAGTTACAAGAATGAACAATCTTTTCTACATAATTCAGTTTACGTAATGCAAATCAACATTAGATCCTTGTCAGTTTGGTTAATTATAATTTTTTGGTAATCATGGTTACCAGTCGCAGCTCCAAAGAACCCTACAACAGAGTTTATTTCCTGTTCTCTAAAGGGAAAGCTGAGAAAAAGAGTGGGTAGAAACAGTGCCCAAAGTTCCAGAGTTTGAGGCAGGGCTGGAACTGAAACTGAATAGTCCATGTGCGGAGATCCCAGTGTGAAACTGTGTTCTCATGAACAAAGAACTTGGCAGAATCATTGTCCCTAACCAACTGGGAACTGCGAATTACATGATTGGGAGGTGAAGGGGTAATTCACCACAAATTGTACCTTAGCAGAGTTCATCTGCACTTTTTTATTCTTGACATTTGAAGATCTTTCACAGTTGCTTACAAAGCAGGCCCATCCTCCGCCTTCCTTTTATTATGAGGAAGCCAAGA